CAGAAGTCGGGAAAGCTCATTTCCCGCCTTCTAGGAATCAAAATTTTTCCCGGGGGAGGACCCCAGGACCCCCTTTCTTTTTGTGATTCATCGATTCATGGAAAATTCTTATGCAACTACTCTTTTTTTTTTTTAATGTTATGTGTGTACAGACACATAAGGCCTTTACTGTAATAACAATGGGAACAAATTACCTGACCGTTTTCAAGAGGGAAAAACCTTGAATTTTGAAGAACTTACAAGTAATTAAAACACCACAGGAGTCGGGGAAAAGCTCATTTTCCGTCATCTAGGATGGACCCCCCCCCCTTTTTTTTTTGGCGCTTATCGATTCATTGAAAAGAATACGATATGCAACTACTCATTTTCTTAAGGTATACACACATAACAGGCCTATTTACTGTAATGAGAAAGTTTACCTTACCGTTTTCAAGAGGGGGAAAACCTTGAATTTTGAAGAACAAAGTCATTAGACACCCAGCTCAAAAGTCGAGAAAGGTCATTTCCAGCCATCTAGAAATCTAAATTTTCCCGGGGGAGGAATGCTGACCCCACCACCTAGGTTTGATTACCGATCTGCATGATTCATATTCCCATTCATCTTATAAGTGGGGCCCCCCACTTTAAAAAACGTTCCGCCGGCCCTGCGCAGAACAAGGAATTTACAGACAAGCGTCCTTGTGTTAACTTTGACCAACATGTGGTGGTTCCACCCATGTGGTGGTTCCTTTCATTATATAAACAAACACAAATGCGCAAGCGTAATTGTTTCGCGAAACTTTTCTCTTGTGAACAAGAAAATCTTAATAGCTGTGACCCAAAGTTTCCATTGATGAGTAAGGAAGAAAAACACATCTGTCAGGCTAAAGACATGTTAAGAAGGGATGAAATTAGTTTTCATGGCACGACGTATTTAATATTTGTAATTGATGGTTAATAAAATAGTATGTTTCTAAATTTTGATTAGATTTGCTTCACTTTCAAGTTTCCAAGTTTCGTATTTTATATTATTGAACACCAGAGCGCTTATAAAAATAAAAAGTTACAATGACTGTACTGTATAGGCCTAGTTGGAAAATTTATTTTTTCAATCATAAAAAATCCGGGAATGACTTAGTGCACGGAAATGAAGCATGGTGGTACTGACGATAAGAAATACAATGTAGGCATACGTATCTCGGTAATCTAACGATGTACCGGTATACAATGTGCCAGTGAAAAATGTTAATTGAGGTAATCCAAGAAATCATAAATAGCACCCTTATTTTTTAAATTTATAGACCTATGCGACTGTTAGGCTGCCAGGCAGCAATCCCCTGCTAGAGCTCAACATAAATTTCTTTTATCCATAGTCACAATATCTCTGCTTTATCCGACACAAAATACGCCACACATATATTGAACAGATTTTTTTTAAAATTTATCATCGATGCAAAGATGGATTGCTTTTAAAAGCTTTCGTCTGATTCTTTTACTCAAACTTTTCCCATAATGCCTTTGGTAATTATTTTTGAAGCTCTAACCTTTTTAGTTCGACATAGGTTTAGAAATGATTAAAGTATTCCTGTTCGTATAATACCTTTACTTTTATATTTACGGTTATGGATTTCTTAATCCGTTGCCGTACGTTTTGGCCTCAGTACACAATTTTCGAAAGCCTTTTTACATGTGTAAATCGATCTAAATCTGAAATTATCGTTAGCAATAATTAGTCATTTCAAATATTAAATTTCGTACATATACTGAATTTTATGATGACGGGTTTCCTATAAATATTTCGTATAATTTTATGAAAGATATTCCCCCTTAAACGTCAATTTAAAATGCGAACGAAACGTGTGACTGCTACTTGGCTAGAATACTTAACATGTATAGCCGTGTTGGAGTATGCAGTGAATACATCAATATAAATGGGTATCTATAGGCCTAATGTATCGTTTTCAGTTTCGTTTTTTTCCCCGATTAATTTTCACCCGTTCATCTGAAGTTTCCGCATAAATTGTATTCATAATGATGGAAGCTTAGTTTTAGAGATTCATCAGACATAATAAATTGTTTAGTTAAATATTACGGTAATCGCAACATGATGTTCTGAGGGGCTTCCCTAGTAATGATTGGGTGATGATGATGATTAAATGAGGATGATGATGTTGATGACGACGGCGACGAAGACGACGAGGATGATGCTAATGATGATGATGATGATGATGATGATGATGATGAGGATGATGGTGGTGGTAATGATGATGATATGATGAGATGACAGCGGTGAAGCTGTCAATAATAAAAACAATGATGATTATAAAAAATAGTGGGACAGGAACATAATGATAAATTTTGTATAAGGCAATTTCAAAATAAACTTCGGCCCTGTTGTACAGTTGATATAATAATAATAATAATAATAATAATAATAATAATAATAATAATAATAATAATAGTAATAATAATAATAATAATAATAATATTAATAATAATAATAATAATAACAATAACAATAACAATAATACTAATACTAATACTAATAATAATAATAACAATAACAATAACAATAACAATAATAATAATAATAATAATATGTCGTTCTTATATAGCTCTTCATGCCTTTACAAGGCCTCTAAGCGCTTCACATTACTACCCCGGTCATTGGATCAAACACATATGGAACTCATTGAACACCAAATTAAATTAGTAAATGAAATTATATTATCATTCCATAATATTGCAGCTAGTAATCAGCGCAGCCTGTTGTGTTGGAACCTATCAGGTACCCACTTGTACTCCTGAGTGGAGAGTGAGTTAAGTGCACTTAGGAGATGAGCGTACAGTATTTGAATTATGTGTATATTTAAATTAATAATTTGTATAACTAATTAAGGATTTATTTTTTAAGTTCCTGAATTTATATTTGTCGACAACGAATAATAATACCTCTTGAACTTTTATTTGCAATTGTTCAGCCTAGTTCTTTGTTATTTTAATGTATATAGCAATCTCATTGACTCCTTGTTTTCTAAATGTATTTATATGTTTTTATATTGTACTGCAATTTCGCTGTCGATTGTAATTTAGCCTATATACAGAAATAAATAAATCTAAATAATAGTGAATAATATTAACAAAAGCTTTTATATAATGTACACACTACGCTTCTTCAAGTGAATGATGGACCTTAATGGAGACTATATAAATATTCTGAAACAATTGAAAAGACTAGTCGGCCTACTATTATGATCCCTGGTACTACGGCTCACCGTATTTGTATCGGATCTGTGTATTTAGTTTTCTTCAAATGC